AGGAGGAGGAGGAGGAGGAGGAGGAGGAGGAGGAGGAGGAGGAGGAGGAGGGGGAGGATAGGGGAGGAGGAGGCAGAGGAGGCGGAGGAGAAGGGAGGAAAGGAGGATCAGGAGGAGAAGGAGGAGGGACAGGAGGAGGAACAGGAGGAGGAGGAGGAGAAGGAGAAGGAGGAGGAGGGGGAGGGGCTCACCCCTGCGAGCCGCAATGAGAAGGAGGAAGAGGAGGAGGACGAGGAGGAGGATCAGGTGGATCAGGAGGAGGATCAGGAGGAGGAGGAGGAGGAGGAGGAGACTGGGGAGGAGGAGAAGCATGCGGGGAGCAGGACAGGGAGGACGAAGAGGAAGAGGGAGGACGAAGAGGAAGAGGACGGGGCCCCTCGGTCTCTGACCTGGCAGCCCTGGCCTCCCGCTCCAGGGGAGGGCAACTTCACGCAGCGATAGCCACCTTGCCAGGCGAACCCTGCAGCCCAAGCTCGGTACGTGTTTGCGCCGCTCCAGGCCGAGGCACACCCAGGCTGGAGCACGTGGGGTCGGAGGATCGCCCGGCATCGACGACGCATCGGCGACGGCAGGATAGCATCGTACAGGCTTCAGATCGCGCAGCATCGACCCTGGCCCCGAGACGGCCCGTGCTCTCGGGGAGCAGACGGGAGGGGGGAGCGGAAGTCAGCCAGAGGGATGATCACGAGGACAAAACATCACGAGGACAGAATAGGAAAACGGACAATGACAGAACGAGGACAGATAGAGGTACATAAAAACTCAGAGGTCCGCGCAGATTTTACGGATCGGCGCTGGAGGCCCTCCCTTGCGCACGGGCCAGGGGCGACGCCGGAAGCGCCGCCAGGGGGTTCCGACGTCGATCACAGAGATCCACACGTGGCGTCGAACGTTTTCTTCTTCTGAGCGAGCCGAATGCAGCCAGAAGGAGGATGACGAGGAGGGAGCAGGCAACAAAAAGGGTAAGAGGGACTGAGAGGAAGCATCCCGAAGCGACCCTGCGGCCGCTCTGAAAACGGTGGCCGACAACACCAGACAGCATGGGCACCGAGTCGCAGGCCTCATTTGGGAGAGCAACGCCTGCCTCCGCCGACATCTTCGGGGGGCTCGCTGGCAAAACGGGCCATGGTCTCCTGCTCCTTCCCTCTCCTCCTCCTCATCCTCCACCTCGTCCTCCTCACCAGCCTCCGCGGGCCTTCCTGCCATTTTCTGCCGGGGGCGTAAAAAGTGAACCCCCGCTGTGCTCGAAGCAGAAGCCTGCTGTGATGCACCCTTACTGCGGCAAGTATCTGGATATAGCATCCGCCTCGTCGATACGATGACCGCGTTGGATAAGAAGCCGTTGGATTCGAACACCAGGGTCTGGAAGCTGGAGAAACTCTGATCGTGGACTGGCCATGGATCGCACCACCGCCTTCATCAGAGAAGGAATCCTCCAGGGTCTGGAGCCTCCTGGGCACGTTCCTTTTAAGCAAAGCCGCCACCACAAATCAACCCTGAGCGATCGTTCAAAAATGATCGCCCGCGGTGGGCCGCCGCCGGGTAGCGAAAAGGTGCGACGGAAACCTGCGGTTCTGCACAGCGAGCTTCATGTTTTTTTTGGGCGGGCGGCGCGGACAAGAGGGTGGGGGGAGGGGGGGGGCTTCTTAGAAGCAGGCTGCTTCTTAGACGGCGCCGGCCTTACATCTACAGATAAGGCCCGCGCCTTCTAAGAAGCAGGGGTGCTTCTGAGAAGCCCTCCCCCCTCCCCCCACCCCCCACCCCCCTCTGCGCGTGGCTGATGTTTGACAGACCCACGGGGCCCGAAGAGAGACCCTGATGCCAGAAATAACCCAGTACACTCTGTTGATCGGCGAAGAGCGAGTGGGCGAAGTGAGAAGAAGAAGAAGAAGGCCTTCTCAGAATTCGGCGGGAGTTCCCAGAACCTCTCTTACTCCAGATTTCGTAATAACAGGGAGGGGGTCACAACCCTCCCAGACGGGAAGTCTTTAGACCCCCCCCAGCCCCCAGACCATCCATGAAAGGGCGGCCCTTTGCCCAGACCCCCCCTAACCCTCCAAGACAGCTCAAATCCGCCCCCCCCCCGAATGTGACCCCCCCCACTTTGTTATGGAACCTCGCTCACGTTCTGAGAAAGCTGCTCCGTCTGCGGAAAAAAAGGTGGGGAGCTTCCCAGAAGGCCAGAAACTTCCGAGTCTTCTGAGAAGGCCCGCCCCTCCTCACTCCCCCCCCTCGCTCGCCGCCGAGTTGAGGTGTCGTCCCACAAAGCGAGGAGAACTGGGTATACCATCGTGGATGGACTCGTGGGACATGCGTGCCCAGCCCCTGCCAGCCGCGAGGGAGGAGAAGGAGGATAGGTCAATCAACTTACCCAGACCCACGGAAGGGGCACGCCACGGCGAGAGCTGCCACACAATCGACGCCAAGGAAGATAGGTCAATCAACTTACCCGAACGATCGAGGGACACTCGGCCTTGATGAGGCCAGATCGAGCCCGCGACTGAGCCAGACGAAGCAGGATCAGGATGAGGAGGAGGAGGAAGAGCAGGAGGAGGACGAGGAGGAGGAGGAGAGGGGGAAGGATAATTACAAGCTAGGTGCGCGCGCGTCATATCTGACGTCCTACCCCTCCCTCCAATCCCTTACCATGGCGCTGATTTTCTCTATCCGCGGACGCGTGTCGTAGCGGACCTGTGGCTCCGCGCGCGCGTGCGTAGTGGGTGGTGGTGCACGTGCGTGCGTGCGTGCGTGTGTGCGTGGTTGTCGTGGTGGTGGTGGTGGTGGTAGTGGTGTGGTGGTGGTGGTGGTGATGGTGGTGCTGGTGCTGGTGGTGGTGCTGGTGTGGTGTGGTGCTGGTGTGGTGCTGGTGCTGGTGTGGTGGTGGTGGTGGTGGTGGTGGTGGTGGTGGTGGTGGTGGTGGTGGTGGTGGTGGTGGTGGTGGTGGCGGTGCGGCGCGGTGGTGGCGGGCGGATGGGCGCGCGAGAAAAAGGCCCGCGCTGGGGCGAGAACGCCATCCTGAACGACGGAGGCCAAACACCGATCCGAAAATGAGGCCCACGCTGCAGCGGGAGCACGATTCGGAACGATTCGGGAGCAGAAATGAAGCCGGCGCCTCAACGAGAGCAGCATTTTGGGAAAAAATGACGCCGGCGCCTCAGCGAGAGTCGTTTCCCGGGAATCCTGTGTAAAAAAACAGTACGCGGAGGGTGCGCGGCCATCACCCGGACGCCATCAGGGGAAGAGGAAGAGTATATTCATATTGAGTAATTGTTGAGGTGGTGGAGGAGGGGGAGTAGGGGGAGATCGGGCGGCATCGTGCAGGAGGCAGCCGGATAGAGCCGAGTCTGCCCAGATCCAGCCGGCGGTGGACCGCGAAGGAGAGCGGCGCCGAGGCGGAGCTGCGCCTCCCAGGGGCTGCCTCCCGGAGGCCACGGTTTCGTTGCCCCGCGGGCGCCCCCAGAGCCTCGGGACCAGGGGCCCTGCGGGGGTGGCGCCTGCACGCAGGCAGCGCCGCTGTTGCGGGCCACGCTTCTGCCCAATCCTCCTCCTCCTCCTCCTCCCCCTCCTCCTCCTCCTACTCCTCCTCCTCCTCCTCCTCCTCCTCCTCCTCCTCCTCCTTCCCCTCCTCCTCCCCCTCCCCCTCCTCCTCCTACAAGAAGCCCGAGGCGCCCTGGACACGAGTGAACTCGTCCCCTGGAGGCTCAACGTGCACTGAATACGGATATCGATCTTACCCGAAGCTCTCGCCGCGCAGTGCCAGCAGTTTACGCCGAGGAAGCGAACGGCGGAGTCTTGCAAAAGGATCAGTACCAACACCGACACAGTGGGTTGCCTCCACAAGGGGAAAGCCGATCCTATATCGAGGCCTGCCATTCAAACTTCCCCTGGAAACACCAGGCCCGAGCAGGTCGCGCCCTGGTAACTCCCAGCTGGAGCAGAAAACCTTGGCCACGCTGGTGCACATGCCAGCACACCGGACCCCGAAATCGGGGCACCGAGAGCGCCTCGACCGAAGTCCAAGGATACATCGGCAACAACACTGGATCCTCGAATGGACTGCGGAGCGACGCCAAGCGCAACTCAACCGTGCAGCGGGTCATCGGCGGCAGAGCTGGGTCCCCGAGCGACGGATGGTGAGGGGTGGGGAGAGCGGAGAGAGGCGAGCGGGGGGCGCTCCGACACGCAGAGCGGATGACAAGCGGGCGATTTGACCTTGGTCTGTCCCATCCGGACTACATACAGTGGAGGCGCGCATCAAGAAACCGAGTGCTATTCGCCAGGGTACCCCAGGTTTCTCCGATCCGCGCGCTGCGCGGTGACTTCCCTCGGCCGTTAAGACAGCAGCTGCGTTCAGGGTGTTCCTGGTTTCCCCATCAGCTGTACCTCGTGTGCGGGTTTTCAGGGTTGGGTTTCTTGCAACGGATTCTTGCGACCACGCCCGCACAGGATGTACAGATGCCTGGCCCCCAAGCTGGAATCGTCTGGGAGCCGCGTCTGTCCCATCTCAAGGCGTCCACCCGTGCTGCAGGCTGCACCGCGCCGCTAGCCACGCTGCGGGCGAACGGCGGCAATAGCCGCGACGTGCGCGCGAAAGCGCCCGAGGGCTGCGCGGCGCGAAAAAGTGCCCAGGGACTGGGCAAAAAGTGGGATCGGATATGAAAACGCTGGAATTGAAACAAGGCTCGAATAAGAGAACATAGGATAGAAGGCAAACGTAGATTTCCGATCGGCAACGAGTCAACGAGCGTGCACAATGCCTCACGCAAGCCGCCGCGAGACAATGTGCACTAATTAGTGACGTCGCTTGACAATGGCGAGCTGGTAAGCGCTGCACTGGGCATTGGGCCGAACGTCCCAAACAAAGCCCTTGTCTGCAATCCCGTCATCATCATCACTCCCGTCCTGGTCTGTCATGTCTTGCCCATGCTAGCCTCATGGCCGTCTCGAGGTCGGAAAAAGGCAGGTGTTGAGAAGCTGCCTGCCCTACAGAGAACTGCTGCTCACCCACGAGAGCCCAAGACAGTATACGACCGGGCCCCGGACCGGAACACGGCCCGCGACGGCGACCGCGGGGCGGCCGGTGGGGTGACCTCGGCGGCATCGCCGTGCTCTTCGCACGCGCCCCCGCGGGACCCCAGCGCACGCAGCATCAGGGATGGTGCCCCCGCCCAGCTCCTGGACTCGCCCGCGGCCTCGCCCAAGGGCGCGCGGGCGGGCTCGACCCCAGCGCCTCGCGGGGCCGCCTCCTCTTGAGCAGGGAGCGACCGTCCTGGCATGCCGATAGGCCTACCACGACATGTTGTCAGAACCCAAACATGTTCCAAGAGAAAAAGACGAAAGCAATGCTCTTAGAACATCGGCCCGAGGCCCAAAAACGAGACAGCCTCGGCCAGAAATGCCCCGAGAGCGTGTCGTGCAGACCACCAAAGGGTCTTAGAGCATTCTTTGGTCGGCCTGTAAAGGAAGCAAGGACGCTTCGCCACTTTGGACGCCCGAAATGGGTACGGAAAAATGGGCACAATGCCCAACAACAACTGTTGTACCAAGACCGACAGCGGTCGCTGTTGGGCAGGCGGCCTCCTGTCTCAAACGGACACGGCCGCAGCGGCGCGGACAGCGAGTCCTGCTCACAATGGACAAAACCTGCTGTTGGGCATTGTACCCATTCTTTCTTCACCCATTCCCTGAGATCTGATGCCGTGATTGTTTCAATACGGGGCCCACGGAAATCTTAACCCATTCCCCCAGACCGGCTTTTCATCCCGAATCGTTTTTTTCGGGAGCGGCCAAAGAGGGGGGTGTCCAAGAGAGGGGGGCGCAAATCATGACCGGCGGCACGTGCGCGGCCCAGCGGGGGGCCAGGGACGTCATGAAATAAGAAGAGGCGCCATGGAACAAGAAGAGGCGCCATGAAATGTCATGGCCCCCGCCATGATATCCACACACCCCTAGTCCCCTGACCTTCCAGAGAGCTGTTTTTTAGCACTGGAGACCTAAAAACCTAAAAAACTAAACGAAACAGCCTGCAACCAAGACGTAGAATAGCTCTGGGATAGGTTTTCAAGTCGCGTGCTATTTTTTAGCCCTCCTGGAAGGTCAGGGTCATCACCCCCCTCTTTGCCGCCCCCGACCACTGCTCGATCCTCTGCAGGCGTGGGCCCCGGCAGGCCCTGGGCCGCCGTGGCCGAGCCTGGGCCGCCGGGGCGGCCCGCCGCCGCCGCGGCGGCGGAGCCCTGGGCGGGGCGCCTGGGCGGTGGCGTCTCGGCCGCGGCCGGGGCGGCCGCCTCCGCCGGCGCGGGCCCCCGCCGCGCGGGGCCGCACGCGTCCTCGGGCGAGCGCTCGACCCAACCGGTCTTTGCCTCGTTTTCGCTTCGTGCTCGGTTTCCCGCGTCTCGTCCTCCCTCCGCCTCTGCCGCGCAAGCGGCATCGCGCTGAAAGCGGCCCACGACATCGCCAAAAAACACCGTTGAGGTCGAGCCCTGTCCTCGGGGTCGGGGGCGCGCATCCTCAGCACACCCAGCTTCCGGTCGACGAGACGGCATCCCAGGCCCCAGCCATTCGCCACGACCGGCGGCATCGAGAGGGAGAACGAGCCTAGGGGATCCTCACGCCTGGGAGGTGAGAGGCACACCCGCCAAGCAGCAGAGGGCAAGGTGGGCTGGTCACAGGCTGCCTGAGCCCAGACGCCTTGATAAATGCGCGGCCCCAGAAATACCGACCCCTTCTCCGGGGGCCCGTTTGTCACTCCGGATCAGTTGTCCTTGGCCCCGGGGCTCGCAGCGCAAAGGCTCCATACGTTTGGCGTACTTGGGGCACTTCCATGTCCTCTTATAACCACGACAACACAACATACAGCCCAGACAAAATGCAGTATAAACATTCCAGCCGCTGCAAGTATGAATGCATCCCAGGTGCAAAGGCCGGTCAAATACATCACACATGGGACACATGCTAAGTAGATGTGGTGCTCACACCAACCGTTCTCATTCATATAATTTTACTATCAGCTCAGAAAGGCATATCTTGTAAATCACGCAAAAGGATTTGGCGATTTGGTAGATGCATAATAAATGGGCTAAACCTAGGCAAGTCAGCCCGCGTTGGCCCCCTGGCCTATACATCGGCAGTTCTGAAGTTCAGAATGCATCCCCTGGTCGAATTTCAGAGACCTTCAGACTTGCACTAGTCGGCCCTAAGTCAAAAACCCACACCCAAACGATGTGTCCTGGCCTTTTTTGGCCCATACCATTGTCGAATTCAGCAACATATTGTGTATACGTGTATATATATACAATATTGCATTGGCGCTGCGCGCCAAGCACCTCGGTCCTTTTCAGTTCCGCACGCAAGCGGAATGCGTGCGTGCGTACATGCGCGATTGCATGTATACAAGGGACGCGCATGCACGTTCCGTGTATGTATGTATGTATGTATGTATATATATAGACATATATGTGTATGTATGCCTAGGTGTATACAGCACGACTACATTGTTGTATATGTGTAACGAGTGTACATGAGCACATCTACATTTATGTGTGTAAGGGTATGAGCATGCATATGCAACTCGTACGTGCTTTGTCGGTGCACGCCGCAGCAATGACTGGGTCACAATGTTGAGTGTCACGGGAGCAAAATCAATGAATGTTGGCTTGCGGAAACGTTGCGGGGGTGTTTTCGGGGCCCTCGTGGCCCGTTTGGGCCCCTTCATGGGCTGTCCTGGGGCCTTCTTGGGCCGTCCTGGGGAGCTTGGGCCCGCTGGAGCCCCCCTTTGGATCGGGGAACTTCTGACCCGGGTCACTCCAGACCCGGGTCAGCAGGAAACCAAAAACTGCAATGCAGGAAACAACTGCAACGAAGATCTTCGCAAACCCAGGTCAGCCAATATGCGCGGCCGCCTCGCGGCCACGAGCGGCTCGCTAACCCGGGTCAGCCAGAGGGGGTCTTCGCAGGATCCTGCAGGATCTGGTGCCCTGGCTGACCCCCGTTTGCATTGACCCCCGTCTCAAGGCTCCCGATTGGACCCATCTTGGGCACTTCTGGGGACCTCCCATGTCCCTTTTGGGTCTGTGCTGGGAGGAGCCCTTGGGGGGCCTCTCGGGCCCATGATGGGCTGTCTTGGGGCTCTCGTGGGCGATCGTGGGGCCCGCCTCGGCCGTCTGGAAGCTTTCCCGGGGGCCTTTTGGAGCGTCCTGAGGCGATCTCGGGGGCTTTGAAGCCGTCTTGAAAGCTGATGACATCCGAAAAGCGAATCTGCTAAACTTGTGGGTTTGACGAAAGGAATGGGACGATTTGTGTGTTTTGAAGGCCCCTTGGAGAGTTTTTTGGGGTGCCTTGGGGGTCTTTTGGGCCGTCCTGCAGCAACTGGAACCCCTCTTGGAGCGCTCTTGTGCTGTCTGGGGCCTCCCTTGAGCCTTTTCTGATGACCCCTCTGATCGCTCTGGGTCTGCTGGCAAGGCGTATGTGGAGACCTGGAAAGCCGGGTGACCTTTTCCAAGGACGTCCAGCCCGAGAACCCCAGATCCCGGGGATCCAGGTTTGGGGGGGGGGTGAGGGTTCCCCCCCCCCGGGCTTGTAAAAATACAGGAGGAGGAATATGTATATGCAAAAATCCATACATGATGCTGACGCTGCCGCGACGCAGAATCTCCTGAGGGTCTTTGCGCAGAGTGCAAACCAGATCGAGGTTGAGGCCACTACCGCCAAGATGGCCGACAGCCTAGTGGCGAAATTTGGGGCTGCTCAGTTCACCGTCGCGGATCGGGCCGACCTCCTCCAGACTTCGCAGTCAGGGCCATGGGGTCCAACAAATGTTGGTAGACTGCGGAAGGAGAGGAGGAGAGAAACAGGAGGGGGAAGGAGGAGGAAGGACGAGGAGGGAGGAGGAGAAGGAGGATCAGCAGGACGAGGAGGAAGGAGGAGAGGCGGAGGAGCAGGAGAAGAGGAGGAGGAAGCCTCCAGCCACTCAAGAGGAAGGGCGACCATCGCTGCTTGGTACGTTGGCGCTCGAGGCTGGTGTTCGGGGATTCCATTGGACCCGCTTGACAGCTTGCGGGAACATATAGTGTCGAAAGTCAGGTCTCTTGGCTTTCAGGCGCAGCAGGAAACAATCGGCATGAAACCTGCCCAAATAGCCGATTAGCATGTATCGGCGGAATGGCGCACGGGGCGCTGTGCTACGTGAGGCCGAGCTACTTCGTTTATGCTTAGTACGTGTGGAATCAGTACACGTGTATTTGCAACTGAGGTGGCAATGGCATTTACACGTGGGTTGTGACTGATAGAAATGAGTCGCGGAGCTCATCTAAGTTGTACAAGTGTCAATATAACGCCGACATGTCCTGCACTGGATTTGCAACCCGCCCGACCACCACCGTAATAACGGGCCCCACCTCGAAGAAATACCCCGGGCATTAGCAAAATCAGATCGCTGGAGAATTGTGATCGCGGATGGACTCTTGGGGCTCCTGGTCCTCCGTCGCCCGACGCCTCGATCCTGCGGGCCCAGACGAGGAGGAGGGCGAGGAGGAGAAGGAGAAGGAGGGGGAAGAGGAGGAGGAGGAGGAGGAGGAGAAGGAGGAGGAGGAGGAGGAGGAGGAGGACAGATGGTGCTCGTGGGCCCTGCCCCAGCTGGCCAACGGCAGGTGCTGGGGCGCGGCGGCGGCTGCGGCGGGCTGGGCGGGCACCAGAGCTTCTTCGGCTGCTCCCAGCCCTCCGCGCGTGGGAGGGATGTCTTGGACCCCCCTTCGTCTCCTCCTCCTCCTCCTCCTCCTCCTCCTCCACTCCTCCTCCTCCTCCTCCTCCTCCACCACCTCCTCCACCTCCTCCGCAGCAGCAGCAACAGCAGCAGCAGCCTCCGCCTCCCAACTCCTCGGCCTGTCCATTCCTCCCTGCTCCTCCTCCTCCTCCTCCTCCTCCTGCTCCTCCTCCTCCTCCTCCTCCTCCTCCTCCCCTGGCCGCGAGGCGCCAAAACAGGGCCAGTGGCGCGCTGGACTCTCAGCCCTTGAGGCGCAGATGCCCGACGCTACGATGTTTCAGTCCGAACGCTCTACGTCGATGTCAGCCTCTGGAGCCCGCTTCGAGCCCTGGGGGCCGTCAAGCAGAGGTCCGAGACGACACGCTGGCCCCCCGGGAGAGGGATCGGGACCTCTGGGGCCGCAGGCTGGCCAAGACCACATCGTCGGACGTCTGGGCCCTGAGGAGGGAGGGAGCGGCAAGAGATGGGCACACTCCTCCACGTCCTCCTCCTCCTCCTCCTCCTCCTCTTCATCTCCTCCTCCTCCTTCTTCCCCTCCTCCTCCGAGGGGACAGGCTTGGTGGCGCGAGCAGTCACAATCACGACGTACTCAAAACCGCAGGTGCCCACATTCACGGGGTAGACGCAGCTCGGCGAAGCCGAGCGTGCGCCTCTAGACCCTGCGCGCGCACATCTGCGCACGCGCACGCACGGGCCCTCCCCTTGCGGGGTGGCGGCGCAGTACCGAATGCCTGAGCGGGACGAGATCGAGAGTCACGCGCACACGCGCAAATACCCACGCGCGCGCCGCGAGGCCGAGCTCAATGTGCAACAGACGCGGCTCTTCGGACACGCTTTCTGGGCCACGAGGGGTCCTTGCCCCTAAAGCACGGAAGGCTGGACGACCACGCAAGCACTGGGGACGGGCCGCTGCAAGTAGAGTGCTGAAGCGCATCGGACGTTTCACTTCGAGAGGAACGTGACGCTGGACGGCAATAACAATAGGAGACAACTAATGTTTCACTAATGGCGACATAATTCTGGCGTTGGGAGCGTCTGGAGTCAGGTCTATAAGGGGCCCTCAGGGGCGCCAATAGGGCCGTCTTAGATACCCGCGGCCGCATATCTTGGTCCGTGCATTGTCACGTGAAGGCGCTTCTGGTGCGCGAAATTTGGAATCGAACTTTCTTTTCGCAGCGGGACTGGCTCGATTTCAGTGCCAGTTTGACACTACGTATGAGGTGTGAATCCAGGGTCCGATGGTCAACGGCAGCCCAACAACTGCGGGCAGCTGTCGAAACTGGCTTGCGCGGGCCAACCGAACCGACATGTGCGTGAACCTCACGCCTGCGATAATTATGGTGTGCTCAAATGGTTCTGCGCCGGCGCACTGGGAAGCTGTGGGGCCCCCCCCCCCCCAGGTCGAGCAGTGCTTCAGAGCGTGAATTACCTACCCCGCTTTCGCTTCTAAGCAAAACCAAGTCATACCACGCGCCTCCTCGTCAAGCGACCTGTCCAGTACAGGCCGTAGTTTGGCATCGCTTGGTATCTCTTGGAAGCGAGAGTGGTCAAAAGCGAGGTAGGTTTGTTTTCCCCTTAGTGTTGCGCGTCGGGGAACATAGGGGCAACTACGGCACTCGTGCGTTTCCACAATCTGTTGTGTGACGCCGCCCGCGTACATCCCTCCGCCATCGCGCCGAAATCGGCCAAGCGCCCCGACGTCGACGTCCGCTGGGCGGCCGGCCGGGGCCTCGACTGCACGCGGAACTGCCTCCCGTGGAGAGGGCGCGCGCAGCCGCGGGCGAGGGAGGCCACGGCGGCCTGGACGCGCCGCGCAGCCGGTGCGCGGCCCGGCTGCCAGAGGCGCGTCTCGGCGCGCCATGCTCGTCTCCCGAGCCGTCTGGAGGTCGCTGCCACAAATCGTACCACGGCATCGCTTCCCGAGGCGCGCTGCTCTGTGGCCTGGCCCTTGTTGGCCCCGGAAACGGCAGGGCCGTTTTTTCACCGTTTCCAAAAAGGCCCTTGGAAATGGAAACGGCAAAAAAACGGCGACCTGAAACAACAAAAAAACGGCTCCAAGATTGGAGCCGGGGCCGGAACCGGAAAAAAAAACGGCGACGGAACCGGTGAAACAACGGCGTCGGAACCGGCAACAAAAACGGCAAAACGGAACCGGAAAAGGAACGGCCCTGCCGTTTCCAGGGCCCACGAAGCCAGGCCCTGGCTAATCTTGAAACCAATCGCGTCAGCCCGCGCGGCGACGGCACGGGGCCGAGCGCGTCTCGCAGGGGCGCCGAGCGCAGCTCCGCGCCGCGCGCGCGCGCGCCGACGGTTCCGCGAGCGCGAGCCGCGCGCGGAGCTCCCCGTCGCAACCGACGAGGGGCAGGCCGGGCAAGAAATAGGTCGGGCCTGTCCCCCTACAGGGGGATTTTCTAGGCGAAAACATCTACTCCAACGATACAGTGCAGGCGCGGCCGCAAGAAACCCTCGCAAGAAACCCAACCCTGAGAACCCGCGCGCGAGGCGCACCGGAGGGGAAACCTGGAGCACCCTGAACGCAGCAGCTCCTTCAACGGCCGCGGGAAGTCGCCGCGCAGCGCGAGGAGCAAAGAAGCCGAGGATACCCTGACGAAAAGCGCATGGTTTCTCGATGCGCGCCCCCACTGTGCCCCCCCAAAGGGCACAGATAGTAACAAAAACATCCCCATACCATGTCTGACTATGTTTGAATCTCCCCCCTGTAACGGGAAAGGCCCGACTTGAGGCGAGAAGAGCGGGCGCCGTGCGTGCAAGACGGCACCGCAGAACAATTGCGGATGGCGCGCGCCGACGAACGCGCACGCCGCCGTGAGTTCACGCTCGCAGCGGCGGCACGGGGCAAACCGCCATGTGACTTATCAAGGGCTCCTAAGTTCGCGCTTCGCGCTGCGCGAAGCGCGAATAACTTCGCGCTCTCGCGCCGCCCTCCCAAAGGGAGAATAGGAGGACGAGGAGGAGGGGGAGAGGGAACGAGGACCGCGAAGCGCGAAGCGCGAATAACTTCGCGCCCTCGAGGGAGCCCTTGCTTATGTTGCTCCCATCGTGCTCGAGGACCACATCCCAAAAATAATGTCGACCACCTGGAAAAGTGTCGAAGGAGTGCCGGAGCCGTGTCGAGCCGGTGCCGGACGAGTGTCTCCCACGGGCCGACAGTGTGAAAGCCCTAGAGCGTCGGTCCTTGCTGCTGGTGCTCAAACTTCTCTCTGGTGATCAAGGCTAAAGTTAGGTCGGGCCTGTCCCCCTACAGGGGGATTTTCGACGAAAAATAAAAAATACCCCCAAAATACCCCGAGAAGGTAAAAATAGTCCCCGGACTATTTTTGGACTATTTTGGGGGTACCTTTAATTTTTCGTCGAAAATCCCCCTGTAGGGGGGGACAGGCCCGACATAAGGCTAAAGTGGGCTGGAACACCACATCACGTGACCAACGCATCTGGGCCCCCCATTATGCTGGCCTTTCGCCGCGGGGAACGCCCCCTGGACTCGCCCGCACGGGCCCCCCCCCCCTCGGCCAGTTGACGTGTGCTGTGGAGCTCCGCCGCGCCACGACTGCCCCCAGGGCGTGCTGTACCCAGCCTTGGCTTTCTCGCCGCGCGCTCCGCCCCGGCAGCCCCCGATGGGGGCCCAAAGAATATGCACCACCACGACGTCGATCCCTCCTCTCTCCTCTACCCTCCACTTCCTTTCCTCTTTCCTGGGAGAGGGAGGGGGTGAGGGAGGTGGTGGTGGTGGTGTATAGTTGTTGTCCCCCGACCTGAAGAAGCGCGGGGCTGCGCGGCGCCAGCAGGACCTGCTGGCGCCGCGCGACTTCCCGGGCGCAGTGGCCGCAAGACCGTATCCAGAGCCAGGGATTCGCTGAAGTGCCAAGCTAGAGCGCACCCTTCCGAACAAACTAACGCGACGCGCATCCAATATGGGGCTTGCGCCACGAACCCGGCGACTTCGCGCCTACGGCCGCCCCAGGGCTGGCGCGCGCGCACAATTGCGCGCCCGGGGCCGGCGCGGGCAAGTTTTGATACGCAGCCGGCGTATCCTTCGCGCGCCAAGCCAGCAGCGCCTCGGGGCGCTGCTGGGCGACGCACCTGAATTCCCATGCAAGCAGAGCCCAACAAAACTCGCAGCCGAATCCGGGCGAACCCGCGATGGCGCGACCCCGCTGACGGACGCCCATTGCAGTACCGACGCTCGCGAGGTGGACGTTTCCGAGGACGGCGCGCCGCCCGCGAATCATGACTCGGCCCCCGGCCGTGCTCGGCGAGCTCCCCTAGCAGCCTCAGGGCGCCGTGGATCGAGGGCGGTCGACTCGAGCGGCCTGAGGCAAGTGGGATCTCGCTGGCCCTCTGGGGGGATGTGGTCTAGATCTCGCGCTGGGGAGGAGGAGAAGAAGGAGGAGGGGGAGGAAGAGGAGGAGGAGGAGGAGGAGGAGGGAGGAGGAGGAGGAGGAGGAGGAGGAGGAGGAGGAGGAGGAGGATCGATGAGGAGGAGGAGGAGGAGGATCGACGAGGAGGAGGATCGATGAGGAGGAGGATCGATGAGGAGGAGGAGGAAGAGAAGAAGGAGAGGAGGAGGAAGAGGAGAGGAGGAGGAGGAGGAGGAGGAGGGAGGAGGAGGGAGGAGGAGGAGGAGGAGGAGGAGGAGGAGGAGGAGGAGGAGGAGGAGGAGGAGGAGGAGGGGGGTTCTCCACCCCGACCCCGCGCGCTCGGGCCAGGCTTCGGCCCCCTCCGTGCCGCGAAGCGCGAGGACGTCCAAGATGGCACCAAGGCGGCCCGAGGGCCCCGCAAGGCTGCCGGCAGCCGCGCTGCGTCGCGCGCGGGACGCCCTGGCAGCGCCTCAGGAGAGCCCAGGATCGAATCGGATCGGGGAGCCGAGCCGGAGCAGGTCGAATCGGGGGACATCGGCAGGCTGTAGCGGGCCACCGTGGAGAACTCTCGGGGAT